CTATGTTTCCTGGTATTTCTACCATAAAATCGTTTATTTCGACAAACGAAGGATATTCTCAAGTGTGTTCTTAAATCAATTTTTCTTCGACTCTAATTTGTCGAAATAATAGGGAACGGTATCACAAGCACCGTGCAACCAACTATATTACGCTTATATAGTTCCGTGGAACCCTATAATATACTTCTTATCGTGTACTCCGTAAAAATGTTTGTCTTTATAACTGAAAAACCCTTTATTACTAATCTCCATTCCGCGTGAACATATAAAAGTCACAATTATCATGCGGGTATTGAGGACTTCTAAAAATCGATAAGTTGAACGATAGAGTTTGGTTAAGCGGACGTGGAGAGCTGACTTTTATTGTTCGACAGATAATTGAACGGATAATTCCGACACATCCACGGAATCGTATTCCATTGAAGAGATCACGTTTGCGATTCGATTAGTGCGACTTGCTCCTTCCTCGTCTCGCAAAGTTACCGCCGCGGTATAAATTATTCCGGTGCCGTCTCGAAAAAAGTCGTCATAAATACATTCTGTATTAAAGCTCGCGAAAGCAATGCCAGCTGAAACGGCGCGTCCAAAGGGGCTCGAAAGAAAGCAAAGAAAAAAAGAGGAAAAATTGAAGGTGCGCGCGCGAGCTCGAGCGCGCCGGGTAATTCAATTTCCGAACGTTTCTTGTTTACACCACACCTCAGGAATCCAATTACGCGCGGCGCTGAATGTAAATCCACCAATTATTCCGCGCGATGCGCGTACACGTATACGCATCCTTGCAGGCGCACACCCGCGAACTCGTTCCTACACGGTGGCACACGTGGAACGCGTCTACGCGTATACATGTGCGTATACGGCCATTTGAATAATACGATTGAAACATTCGATAACCGAGGGACAGCGAAAATTATTCATAACGTTACCGCTAAATATAGTGGCGTGCGCGGTGTTCATAGCGCGGCGCTGTTTACGGGTACCAGTTTATTTGCTCCTAATTGATTTCACGAGACATCAGACACGTTTAAACTCCGCCGGTGCCACGTGCTTTACGACTGGGAGCCAAGTGCCTTTACAAATGGAGGCGACAGCGCGCTTAATAAAGGTACATTAAAACACCCTGACATAAAGCGGCGCGCAGTATCGCGATACGGAGCTAGCCAGCTCGCTCGCCTTCTTACTCGGTTGCCGCGCTCACTCGCTCGCTTAAATTTCTTTTTTTCTTCTTTTCGTCCCGCGAAGGTGGAGCGGCGGGGCAGAAGAATTTATCGTCATACAAGCCGGACACGAATAGCCGAGGGGAACCGGGACTATCCGAGCCGCTCGTGTGTATCCTAGGAAGTACCCGAGGTACTCTTTACAAGCTCATAAACTCGCGCGGCAATTTCCGACACGACGCGTTAAAGTGACTTTATGCGTCGGATGGGTGGCCGACACGAGTTCCACATTTCGAGCACCGCGTAAAAAGCCCTCTTCGCGCGACACGCGTCCCCCGTGTAACCACCTATACACCTCGCCGCGGTGTTCCGTCTCTCCTTTCCATCTTTTTCTTCCTTCCTTCCTTCCTTCCTTCCTTCCTTCCTCCCTCCCTTGCTCCCTTTCTGCCTTCCTTTCTTCCTTCCGTCTTTCCTGCCTGCCTTCCTACCTTTCTTGTTGATCTGTCCTCCTCGGTGCTCGATAAGCGACCATGGGTAACTGGCGATGAAAGAACGCGGGGCGAGAGAATGAGGCTCGCTATCTCAGCGTGTTACGAGATGGTACCCCGCGACGAGCGCAAAAGGATACGAGGGGAGCAGGGGCGTCGCTGATCGGTAGCCGGAGGTCCTTGATTCCCTCCCTCTTTCTTTCTCGTCCCTTAGCCCGATCTCTCTCGCCCACACTTCTCCACCCTTCTTCGTTACCCGACGAAGCGTGATCCCAATAATTCCACCCTCACACACGCGACTCATCGGCGGAGAGGTACAAATGGGCAAGTTGGAGGGGATAATATACGGATAACCGGCACGGATGAGTAGATAGGGTAAAAGAGAGACGGATCACGCGAGCATCCAGGATAGAGGGTTTACGCGTACACATGCACGCGGTGTGCCAACGTGTGCGTGAAAACCGTCGCGGCGCTATTGATCGACGCTCCGCAGCTAGGCTGCGTCGCGCACAGAAAGCGAAAGTCAGTCCTCCTTTTCTTCGACGTCTCGCCTGGGTCCCCTCTTTCTTTCCCTTTCCTTCGACACAGCTCGCATTCCCTCCCCCTCGCCCGTGCCCGTGGGTCGTCTTCCTCACTCGTCTCTCGACCTCTCATTCCTTCTCTCAACAGCCATTTCCATGTTCCTCTCCCTCTCGCACTCATGTTCCCGTCTCGTCGCTCCCCAATCCAAGATCGTTCGATCCCCACCCCACCTCTTCGGCTGACCCTTCGGGTCTCCTTGTCCCCGGGCACAGGTGCAACGAGGAGCCGGAGCCGCACAGGTCTGCATCCCTGAAAACCTGTTTCTAGACTTTCGAATAAACGTCGTAAACGGTCTCGACGATTCCCTCTCCTCCCCCTCCCTCGGTGTTCAGTTGCCCAGGGGTCCGATCGTTCCGTGGACCGCTGTATCGTGTACGGTACGATATCCACGGGCCCTGTGTGTCGTCTCGAGCACGAGCACTAGCACCAGCAGCAGCCAGCCACCCGACCGTTGCTCCATCTCCTTCGCTCCCTAGCATCTCGCGGGTCGAACGGTAGTCCCCAGACGCGACGCACGTATCGTTTCGCAGTTTTGGTTTCGCTTAATCGCGCGTATCGTTGCGATGCCGATATGTACGTCTCCCCCACCTCGTTTCGCGGAGAGCTCACTGCTGTAGCCCGGCTCTGTCTCTCTTTCTCTTTCTCTCTCTGTCTCGGTCGCTCGCTCGCTC